GGAAAGGATAGTAGAGCACAAGGCTAACAAGCAAAGGCTAACAAGCACACTGTGTATACAGAAATGACAATGAAATGGAGTTGTGATAAAATGCCCAGACATGTCTGAGGTGCGCATGTGTCTGAAAATGAGAGGAGCTTGTTATCACTTGGTTACCCAAACTAAGAAGATGCCAACCAGAGGTCAGTAAAATATCAGATGCTATGCTAATGAGATGGATGAAGATGAAAAGGGGAGAAGCTTGCACTCTTTTCAGCCTGGAAATTCAGCAAAATACATGGAGGTGAAGATCTGCACAGAAAGCTGGCTCCTGATCATTCAGCAGCTATCTGGAAGGAGACTCTGCGCTCTGTGGGGTTCTTTTGGCTGAGCATCATGCCAAGACCAACTTCCCCATGTGCAGACATGCTGGGATAAGTGGACACAGCCACTCACTCACTCACAATGAGACTAGGGGGATCCCATCACCTGATGAAGAGATGTGGACTGTTCCCTTCTGGAAGCAAGGCCAGCCACTGCAGATGAAGATTTTCTGCCTTCCTGGAAAAGCCAGGCACAACCCTCCTTGTTCTTCTCTCCTTTGCCATCTTGCCTCTCACCAGGTCTCCAAGCTTTCAATTTCAGGAAGCACGGGTCCTACCAGTGTTCCCCATAAGGGGCTGCAGAGCTGGGCAGAGAAGATCCAAACATCTGATGCTGTAGGACTTTCTTTGGGTCCCCACTCCACCAGATTTGCAAAGGCATAGTGGGTTTCACTTGGCTGTACACAATGAGACAAAAGCTGAGCTGAGCTCCTTGTGGATAGAAGGGAACGGTTATGCTTTTTATCACACCTTGCCATTCCCTAAATGGGCTGGTTGGACAGTGTTGTCCCCTGGCAAGGAAGAGGTTAACGCTGCCCTGCTTTAATCTGAGTTTCAATAGGACTGCAGAATCACCCGCTTTTATTTTCGGTTCTGCTGCATAACAACTGCCCTTTGTAACCTGCACAGAGCAAAAGACCCGTTTCCTCTGGCAGCCTTTAAGAGAGGGGATTAAAAAAAAAGCAGAGGAACAGAATTCGCATTCAGCAAGTGCCAGGTTGTCAAGGTTTCCTCTGCTCTCAGATATAATTCTTTTCTCCTGACAAAATAAATTTAATACTGTCGTGTCAAAAGAGGAGCTTCAAAAGCAGCAACAACCTGTGAGGTTTGATCTGTTTCCAGGCAGGACCCCAGTCATGGCTCACACCTCTACCCTTCTGTGCATGGCAGGGAGCAGAGCTCAGACCCTCCTATACAGAGATACTGTTGCACAACGTGATTCCAACACCCGGAGAAGGTCAGCGAGAGTTCTGCGTTTCTCTGCTCCATCTCTTTCCCCATGCAGAACTGAAATCTCAAAATCCCACATCTCTTGCCAGAGGAAAAAGTGGGGAAAACATCAGCCTGGCTGACAAAGAGAATATGAACTGTTTTTATACTGCCAAGGAAGCACATCGAATTCAGTAGGCTGACAGGAAGAAGCTTTCCACAGGTTTCATTTTTCAGTTTCCTTCCCCATTTGCATTGCTTTCTATTTCAGTAAGATATGGAGTGCTGGTAAATTTCCAGTGCATGGAAAGTGTGGGTATGAAACCAAGGCTTAAAAAAGACAGATCTGATCAGCTCGTTCACTGATGCCTTCACCCGGTGGCCAAACTGGACAAGAGAATGGTTCTGGTAAACAATTTAACTGACGATGATTGAAGAGGAATTAACATACTATTAACAAAAGTCAACATAATTTCAAAGAAAAAATCCGTCTCAAATAAGCCCAATCTTCGTTGAGACTACAGGACTGATTGTCAAAAGTAAGGGCACAGAGGGGATATGGGAGGCACCCAGCATCCAACCACTAAAAGTACAGCAGAAGAGTTTTGACTGATCCAAAGACTCATTAATTGAGTCACAGATTCAAACCCGTCCAAGACCACAGAACCATGCAGGTATGCCAACATAGATGGTCTGTCTGCCCGCTCTGGCCATCAGTCCAGAGGGAGCTGTATTTTTAGCAGCTGTTTGATTCAAATTCCTAATAAATAACAGGAGGAAAGCCCTTGATGCTTGAGTCACACTCAGTGCTTGAAAGCCCTTGATGCTTAAGCAAACCCTCCTGCCACTTTTTTTTTTTTTTCAGTGAAAACAGGAAAATCTGCTCAGCATCGTTAGTGTCTGAGTAAATAAATAAATGCACGTTTCCATCACTGCTCACCAAAAAGGGGTACAAATGGGATATTCTCCCCTTTATTAAGTGACCTTCAGAGCCGGTAATGTCTTGCAACCTGGCTATGCAGTGGCCCAGGAAGAGCTACTCCAGACAAGCGCAGTACCTCTCTGTGCCTGGCAGCTTGCCTGACACTGCAGACCCCACTCCCACACTTTCTCCATCGGGTTTCCTGCAGCAGTGGTGTCTCAACAACGCTGGCCCTGCTCAGCAGCCAGCTCTAACTCCTACACTCAGCACTGAGAGCACAAAGGAAAGCAGCGTTCTGCACTGCGTGCTTATCTCCCTCATAAAGAAGCAGGGCACTTTTGTTTATTGAGTGCCAATGAATGGCACAGTCTTGGCTGCGAGATCAGCCTCCAGGTCCTGCTCTGGGCACGGCTGCTGGCAGGGAGCTGGAGGCTGCATCCATTTATTGCCACGAGCTGATAAGATATTGGAACTGTCTTCAGCATTTTCAGGGCAGTATTATTGACGAACCCTGAGCTCCTACCTGAAAAAGCTGATGGTTCAACCTCTGCCTTCCAGCCATCATCCTTGCACAGCAGTTTTCACAAAATATCTTCTATAAACAGCAGGATCTTATTTTTTTCTGCCTGGGCTGTGACAAAACCATCTGTTGTAAGGGATTTTTGGGAGTGTTTTCTTGCTGCTCAGCTCAGCAGGATCTTCTTCAGCCCAACAGTAGTCATACTGAAACACACAAAGGACATGCTGGGCCCCAGAAGCCAGCAACCTGTGTGGGAAGTGGTGTTGGAAGGGAGCAGCTCCAACCAGCAGCACAGCACCTGATCAACCTCAGCTCTGTCCTCAGGGGAAGTCAGAAAGCACAAAGTTTTCTTTTTTCTCCATCTTAGAGAGAAGAAAACTCAAAACATTTGTTCTTCTGGAAAGACATTGCTGTTTCCAGAGGAAATGTGAGTCTGCAGAGGCTGTGCTGAAAAAAAAAAAAGCAAGAGGAAGATTCATACCTAAGCTCACGTTCTCCTCCAGCTATTTTGTTACCCAGTCCTTTGGCCAACTCTCCTGTCCTACTTCTCACTGCATTCTAAAGCTCCTCTTTAGCAGCACAATAAAGCATAATTAGAGTCTGGGGTTACCAAGAGCATTTGTATCCTCATTCTATGCTCATGCCCCAGTCTTGAAGTACTGCTTTGGAGCTGAGTCTGTCCCATGTATGGACCTGCAGCATCCTGGTACCTTTTTCTAACATCTGCTTTGTGGGTTATAAAGTAACAGAACTCAACAATTTCTCAAGCTTTTTATTGGAAATAGCTAAAAATACCAATGCTATTTCTGACCAATGCATCTGCAATCTCCCCATGTCCACAGGGCAGCAGGAGAGGGACTTGCAACAACACCTTGACTTTCTAGAGGAAGCAAATAGAGATGCCTTATCTGCTTCCTCTGCCTGCTTCAATTTTTCCACCTACTCTATTGTTGCCGTCTTACTCATCTCCTGCCTGAGAAGGCAGCCCCAGCCTTTCAGTCCCTCCACATGGGAATGCATTCAGCTCTGTGTATTCATTTGGCTTTTAACAGATCATTTTCCCACCAATTTATCCAATTACTTTCTGAACACAACATTTATATTTTGGCCTCAAACATTTCACAGCAATGAGTCAGCGTTAGAACTACGCGCAGTGGGGAAAATGTACCTTTTTTGCTTTCTGCAGGTGCTGTGGGATGATTTCATTTGGTGCCACCTAGTTGAGAAACAGCAGATAGCAACCACCTACGCAACCTTCATTCCTTCCCAGGAGATGTAATACTGCTGTGAATAGAACAAAAATTGCTCTGTATACTCTTTTCTGAGCATCCTTCCTGTGCCTTGTACGCTTTACAGTTCTGCTGCCTCCCTGCTGGAAAAGGCAATACCCTTAGGCTCTGGTGTTCAGTGAACAAACTGTGCAGAAGGATCCCAGTCTTACTCATCCAAAGCAACCTTCAGTATAGGTTAAACCTTCAGACCTAGGCAAGGAAGGAAGACAGAGACAGTATTCTCCATCTTCATGATGCCTACCTGACTTCTTCATTTCCAGAGCCGCTTCGAGGAGGATGAGAACTGGAACAACTATCAATCAGAAAGGAAACTAGATTCCTTTCCCTTTCAAAAGAAAAAAAGCAGAATAACAGTGTTTAGCATGGACACAAATTAAAATTGCAGGGTACCAATCAGCAGGAAATTTTGTCAAATGGTGGGATATCATCTGTGCTCCTGTCAGCTTGTAACAAGCTCTGCAGGGTCATGGCTGAGCCACCCACACAGTCCTGAAAACCCTGCAGGTATCACCTATCCCTAAACCAAGCAATGCAAAGGTTGCACTGATTTTTGTAGCACTGTTGTCTGGCCTCAGCTGATCAGTTGAATGCAGTCCTCTGGGGTTCACTGCCTGCATGTTCCCTTCTGGTCTTTTACTGGGAATTGTACACCACCTCACTGCTGAGAGCAGCCAGGTTTTGATGGTATTGTTGTGTAATTAATCATCTGATTCGAGTTCTACTTAGGCTTTCATTTCTAAGCTGTTCTGTTCATTAATGTTTAAACTGTGAACATGCTGGAGACATTTTATCTGAGGACTGTGCTGGTTAGCAGGGGCTGGAAGTGGAGTGAGAAACATCCTGCTCACCTCCCAGGAGGAACACTTGATCATTCTGTTGCAGATGTGTAAGTTATTATGAAGTGGAAGGGGCTCTAATGATGAGAGTTAAAAAAGTGTAGACATTATAGTCAAAAAGGAGGAGAAAAAGATATATGTATATATATGTAGCCTTTATTTTATATACATGTTTGCTTCTTTGTTTTACAAGAAGGTTCATGCACAGTAAAATCTAAATCATCAGGAGGATAGTGTGAGGTGCCTGAAAGACACCTGGAAAAGGTAAATAGTAGCTAGGAAGCAAAAGGGAATACTTCTGTTTGTAATGAATTAGTGTCTTTATTTAGAAACAAATAAGAAAATAAGAAAATTGGAAACAGAAGACAAATGCTACTTCATTTTTTTTGCTCCTTCAACCTTGTACTGCAACTGTAACCAGCATTTTCCATCCATAGCAACTACAGGCTTAAGATGGAGTTACCTGTCTCCAAGAGATTAAGGATAAAGATAACATACCTGGAAAGAACAAGTTTCTTGTTGACTTTCATCCAGTGCAAATATTTGATGCCAAGTCAGCTGAAGAAAAGAGCAGCTGGGGGGTTGCTCTGATTTCCCAGCACCTCCATATTGTCAGCTGAGTGCTTCTCTTAGTGTCACAGAATCACAGAAACACTAAGGTTGGAAAAGACCTTCAAGATCATCCAGTCCAACCTATCACCAATAGTTCTCACTAAACCATGTCCCTCAACACAAAATCCAAATGTTCCTTGAACACCTCCAGGGTTGGTGACTGCACCACTTCCCTGGGCAGCCCATTCCATGCCTGACCACTCTTTCAGAAAAGCAGTATTTCCTTATGTCCAACCTAAATCTCCCCTGTCACTGCAAGAAGAAAACCTACTACCACCAAGGCCACCCAGCCCAGCAGCTGCTATGCAGCAGCAGACTGGAGATAATGATACATCTCTGAGGTAGTTACTTAACATCCCTCTCATGCTATCTGCACAAGTTCTAATGACACCGCCTAGGCTTTGGCATGTCTATCTTTTGTCCTATCTCCTACATCAGCCCACCACCCCCTCCAGCAGCTGGTGCTGCCCAGATCTGCTCCCGATGAGCCCCAGTCATACTTTCAGTCCTTCAAGCTTATATCCTGAACGTGTTTCCTGGTTAGCTCCTCTTTAGCACAACAAAGCTAACATATGATGACACCATTAAGTCAGTTCCAGTCTGTCCTGCAGCCAGGGGTACTCAAACAAGAGCTCTCCTCCTCATTTCCATGCAGCACTGCCCAGCTCACCAGTGTATTTCTGACAGCAAGCATAAAGGGACCCAGCTCTGTCTGACATACCTCAAATGGAATAGCAGACCGTGTAGAGACATGAAATAATTAAGTGCTTATTTTATTTCCAATGAGAGCAATATGCCCGAATGCATCTCTCCAGAACTGGAGTTAAAAACAAATACCTTGTTGGTATACATCAAAATTCCAGGCAAGAACTTATGACACACTACCAGAGATTACACACACTCAAAAGACAACTGCTGACACAAACCCAGCACAAAACCTGAGGGGTAGCATGGCCTAAGAGATCAGCTCTGAGTAAGTCCCTAGGCCGAAGGCTACAGCTCAAGTCTAAAAGTCCTTGTCCAGTGCTGTAGCATTCATTCCATGCACTCCATGGCCTGAGATGATAGAATGTCTCAAGAAAAAAGAATCATTTTATTGCCCCTCTTTCAGTAGCATTGTTTGCATGTCTGAAATACAGCATCTGGTCACTGATGATTATTCACTGGGGAAAAAGGGGAAGAAAGCACCAGACCTGAAGCTGTGGGTTGATTTTGGATGTTACAAGCTGACATTTTTATACAAGCTCTCAGACTGAGAATATCCCTTTAAATACTGCTTAGAGGATGGGATATGCTGAATCCAAACCTATTCTGAATGAGCTGAACATACCTAGATTACAGTAGACATCCAAACAGCTTGTGTGCAACTTCCCACTGCCATTAGTGGGCCATTAGTTGAGGCACATTATGAGATGTGTAACAGGAAGAGAAGAGCACATCAGTAGTCAGTCACTGCACAGTTAAAAAGCAATAAATGCTTACAGCCATTTACAAGGTATTCAGATCACAAAACTGGGAAGTTTGCTCAGCACAGTTGATGCTAATCCCACGACAGTGCTAATGTTACAGCTGGCCAGACCAGTTTCTAAAATGCAAACTTACATCATGCTTTTCACAAAGCTCTGCAAACTTTTTTACTAGTACACAGGCACATCTCACAAAGAGGATGTGAGGAATCTCTCTTGGAAAGTGCAAGGGAAAATTTACTTTCAGGCAAGTTAAGGCCTCTTCAGGATTATGGAGTTGCACGTGTTTGTAAAATAAAACTGGAAGTCTGTCAAAGACACAGCTTGCAAGTCTCATGTAACAAGCCTGTCAGGAGCAAACAAGCCTGTTGGAGCAAAACTCCTTAGGTTTTGTTTAGAACTCGAGATTCCCCTCTGATAAAGCCCATTCCCTTCTGCTAGGAGCTATGTCATGGCTATCGCAGAGTCTTCAGTGCTGCTCTCCTGCTCCAAGCCCACGCGGCGGATGGACTCCCTGTATTTCTGCCGTCCCAGCTCAATGATGCTTTCGACCTCATCAGCGATGTCCTGGCGGCCACTCTCTTTCATGGCTGTGATCAGCTTGCTCACACAGTTGGGATCCTCTGAGTTTTGCTGGGCCCATGAGAAAAGCATGTCCAGGATTTGCTTATCAAGGTCCTCTCTGAAGAAAAGGAAAAGCAGGGAAGTAACACTCTCTCCTGAGTGGCAATCCAAGGAGGCTTTACCTTAGTCCAAGCCAAGAGCTGAAGCTCCACAATAAAGTAATCCAGACACAGAGCTCTCAATGGACTGTCTTTTTCCCAGCCATCACACAGGAGTTGCAGCTCCTGCACTAAAATCCCTCTGGAATCTTTCTCTAACAGAAATTTCAAATTAAAAGCATTCTGATTTGGAATGTAATTCCCCCATAGGAACAGTAGGTCAGTCATAACGAGCCACACTCCTACTTTCTTGACTTTTTGGTCAGGATCTTTTGAATATAGATATTTACAACTAATGCCATGGTTTATGGCTTACTGTCAAAGATGGAGTCCAGCCAGGAAGCCAGATGAGAGAATGAAGCAGGAATGTGATGCATCTGAACTACAAAGCTCATCAGGCTGGTTATTTCTAAATACTGTTTTAAAACATCAAGCTTTTTTTCATAGCAACAAGATAAAATAATCAGTTTTCCATGAAAAATGTAGTGCTTTGAGAAGAATTGTTGGCTAACCCATCTTTTATCCAGTGAAACAATACCAGTGAAAAACTTTCCATTAATCAAGCATTAATTTATCCTACTGTACTGCAGCTACATGAGCTGTTGATTCTTGTGTCCCATTTTACCTGTTATTGTATCCTATGCGCTCAATCTGTTGATAGGTCAAGCCCAGGTTCAGGCCAATGGTCTGCCAGTCAGCTCCCACACGCCTGGCAATGCTCAGCAGGTTTGCCTGTGTCAGGTAGCCAGTCTCAGCATTGCCCAGGTTCAAGGGAGGGAAGGAGAAGCCATTCAATGAAGTGGAGGTCTCACCCCAACGGGGTTTCAATCTCTGTGTCATAAGAGAAGCGAGAAAGAGAACTTGCTGAGAAAATTCTTTTCATAGAGGACAGCAGTCATTCAGCCTCCATACTGAAATGTTCTGTCTTGTATTGAGAGGATGGAAGATTTTAACTTGGGACTGAAGGGATAGCTGTAAGAAGCAATGAGCACTCAGACTGGCAGTGATCGGCAGTCCTCAGTGCCATGGAAAAATATAAAATCACCATGCTCATAGTCAGAGCTCATACTGGAAACTTTCCTTCTTCATTTAGAGAGCATTTTTTAAAGAATCATCTATGTTCTCTGACTAGACTCCCCCAGTTGACATTGCATTTGTCAGAACTGGATCATGCACACAGTCTGAAGTGAAGCATTCAGACTACGCACGTATTTATTGCTTTAAGCTTCTTGGAAAGTGGTCAAGTTTCATAAAATAAAGTGCCTTTCCTACTGTAAAACACAGCTTGCCCTTTAAAAGCCAGTTGGTCACACCAGAACACTTAGGACCAGTCTCTGTAACTACCTCATCCTAGGCCATTCTCATCCTTGCCAGCATAAGCTGAATGACTAAGAACTGTATAAACAAAACAGACACTTCCTCCTCCTCCACATTCTTCATACATTCAAAGGATCCACCCTCCCTGATCATGCATCCTTCCAATGCCCTGACTGGCGAGATGAGCACAAGTTGAAGACTGCTCCCAGTTATTCATACTTCTCCTTTGAGGAGTTGGAAGGTGGGATATCTCCACCATGACAAAAAAAAAGCATGTGGGAGATTCCTGTGCACATCTGATAGAACTCTGACATAAGAAGATTTAGGGAACTGTGTCTGGCTGTGTTTCAGTGATCTATCACCACAACTCCGCCTTTCATTTCATTTACAGAAAACTTCCTTTGCATGCAAAAATATCTGAAAAAGAAGAGAAGACACTTTCCTTCATTTAGATGGGCAATGATTTATTGCAATGGATGCAATCCTTGCATCTATTGTCATAGTGGAAGACAACATTGGCTGAGCAGGAAGGCCCTGCTCTTTCCCCATATAGACTAGGAGACAAAGTAACTCACAGGCAGTTTGATTGGTAAAGTAGCGAGCCAGAGGGAGTCTGGTCCTCTCCTCCTCCTGCTGGCATCTTCAGGAATGCTCTCAGGAATTGCCCCTCGATAGAAAGAGACCTTTGCAAACAGAAAGCATGCAGTGAGACTCAGATTCAAGCGCAGCAGGCAGATCTGTTTGCACCATAATGTTTCTGCCTGAGAAAGAATGAATTCATAGGCGAGAAATTAATCTATCTTCAGTCCATAAACAAGGCATCCCAATTAAGTGTGACTGGGAGCGGCACTGAAGTTTCTGCTGTAAAGGTTGGACTCTGCCAACACCCCATTAGTTAAAGGCAGGAATGTAAAGTCAGTGAGCTATCCTGATGAGTGATCCTTCCAGGTACAGTCAATGAAGTGCAGAGCACAATAAAAGTGATGATGATGAAGGAAACAAAATGTCAGTGTCAATTGTTGCTCACCTGGCCTTTTACAGCTTGGCCTTTCCTGTCTACGGGGGAAGTCACGTAGATTTCCTTCATGTTCTTCAAGTGGGAGTAAAAAATAAATGAGAGACGTCCATCCACACAGTCAGGGCGATCTGTACGGGAGAAGCAGGCAACACTGAATTTGTGCTGAAAATTGTGTGTATTTTCAAGCCTAGCCACAGCCCATCATCCATCCCATGCTACCATCCACTCCTACTGAGATCTGAAAGAATGCTAATCCCCATATCATTTCTGGGTACAAACAGAAAATTGGCTGTGCAAAAGGCAAGTCTCGTGGGTGAAAAAGGAGAATGGCCACAAGGTGGAGACCAAGTTCAAGAATGAAAGGCAAGGCTAGGAAAGGCATGCGGATGGGGTGAAGTCCCTCCTCCAAAATGTCTCAGCTTGCAGCTGTAAGACATCTAGTCTCAGTGGGTGTAAAAAAAGTCATTGTGAGTTTTGGCCTTGCTCCTTCTTTTCCTTCTCTCCTAATGGAAATGTAGAGGAAGCAAGAGACAGATACACATTACATTTCGTAAGAGGAATTCTCTGCCCTGGATCATTTCAGAAATACCTTCTCAGAGTTAAAAAAAAAAAAAAAAAAAAAAAAAAAAAAAAGAAAAAGAAAAGAAAAGAAAAGAAAAGAAAAGAAAAGAAAAGAAAAGAAAAGAAAAAGGAAGACTTCTTTCTGTATGTTCACCTAGAAACAAACAATATGAGTTAGATCACCATAGGCATCCCAACACACTGTCTGAGATGCCAGGAAAAGGGCATTACTAGCTGCAGAAAACAGATCAGTCATAAAATCAAAGGGATATTGCCCTTTGAAGGCTACAGCAGTGTGACAGGAAACATAAGCCTGCAAAAAGTGTTTTTATAGGGAAAAGTAGACACAAAAGTTGATGGACCAGAAAACGTGATGGACTAAGCGTCCAGGGGCTGTGGGTGAGCAGTGGGTGAGCAAGTACACCAAGCACAGAGCTCCCAGAAGAAACAGGCCTGGAGCTAGGAACGTCAGAGAGGCAGGAGCAGAAAGCACTACCATACCCATATCGATGCTGATGCCTCTCTCAAAAGCTGCAAAGAACTGCTCTCCTTCAAACATTTCCACCATGTCAGATGGCTCAGGTCCTCGGTAGCGGTCCTGCAGCTTCTTCAGCACTGGGTCAACCTGGCAAAGATGACAAAACAGGACCCCACCTTTGGTCTGAAGCAAATATCTGTTCCCATACATCCCTATGCCTATAATGTTCCCTTCACTCACCTTCAATTTAGAAAAATAATTTTCCACAGAAAGGATGTAAATGAACAAATGAACAAAGCCCCAAATCCTATACATCAGATACATTTACTACAGAAAAAATAAAAAGAAATCATCAGCAACACCCCTGTCTTTTTTAACAGGTCGTTAGCCTTCAAAGACCAGGATTTACTTGCTACCTCTCATAGTATGGCACCAAAAATATTTTCTCTGCAGAAAGCTACATGCTAAAAGAGCACACAGCTGAGGACACCAGAGAACTCATTTAGGTAATGCAGCCTGGAATAACACTGCAAGACCTGGGGTCTCAAGGCAGTGCAAGTGTGTCTATTTTTCTTTCTATCTGTATCAGTAAACCTTCTCTTTTACCCCATGACCATCCCTGGCAAGAAAGCAGACCCCCAGCGTCCTGATCTCACTGAGAGTACCATTGCTGCCTTCTCTGTGAAGCAGAATTCTAGCCCAATATCCAAGATATCAGGAACCCTTACAGTTGTTTCTCAATACAGGAGAATAAATAAATTAAAAGGAAGCAACCAAATCAGAGGATTATATAGAGGCTTGGAATATGCAGGCCAGGCCAGAGCTAGTAATCTGATTAAATAACCCTTGCCTCACTGACCTGCACTGTCTGTCAAGGTATAAGTTCTCCAAACACAGATATACATTTCCTTTGCTAATATCTGAAGCAATCCTGCTGAGGGATGATAACCTTAAGACAGAGGCAGCAGAAAAGTAAGCGTTGCCCTCTCCTTCAGTACAAAACCAGCCAGATTAGCTCAAACAGCCCTCCTGCACAGCATGAACTAATCAGATATTGCAGAGAAGCATATTAAGGAGGTTCCACTGCTTGAGTTGTAAACTCAAGCAAGGAACACTGGGAAAAACTTTCTAAGCAGTTCTGTAGAAATGTAAGCAGTGCTTCTGCTGCCCATGCTACTCACCTGTGTCAGACAAGTAACGTGTCAACTTTAATACTGTAAGTGAAGCTTATGCCAACACACTTTGCCTCATGTTTTCTGATGGCTAACACCATTCACAAGGCCAGTTACTGTGGCTCAGCTGAGTTTAGCAGTCCAGTTTTCAAGCTTTGCAGAGGAGGAAATCACTGCATGGCATCCACCAGTGCATAGAATGAGTCTTTCTTCTCCTGATTCCCAGTGAACTAGTATCACACTACTAACACAGAGTGGTAACAGCACACCTCAGCCATGACCTTGGGGCAGTGACCAGGACCATTTGGCACATTACTGCCCTTGGATCCTGCAAAAGGAGGCCCAGGGAGCTGAGGAGAAATGCAACCCATACCAGACCTTGTGCTTGGGGAGACACTGTAGCAGGACTTGCTCAGGATCCTTCTTCCTCTGCAGAGCAATGAAGTTCACCTGGTACATACGTAACCGCTCATAAACTTTCTTGGCAATGCCTCCAATGTAGGTCTTGGTGGTGTACCACAGCCAGTACCTGTCAGATAAAGAATTGAGAAAAAGGATGGATCCTGCCTAGGAAGAGAAGTTGGTGTCATATTCATGAGACTGCCAACAGTTTGGGTCTTCAGTGATCATTTCTTCACAGGAGAAGCATGCTTCAGCAGCTTTCTTATCCTCTGATTCTGGCTCATAGCATATAAGTACTCAGACTGAGGGTGAAGGATAAAGTGAAGATTTAAGTGAAGAAAGATTTAAAGACAAGAAGGTTGACGGTGGTGAGAAAGAAATGGAGAACTTGGGAGCTGAGAGGAGTGTGGTCTGAAAACCTGCAGCTGAAGGATTGTAGATTCAGAGTGGGAACCATTACATTGAGTGCATTTGCTCTAAAGCCACTACGCTTGCAAATCTGGACTTCTCTGCATTGTCAGACGAGAAGGATTGAGAGCATTCCAAGGAGCAGTAGCTTTTCTCCAGTGAAAATACACAACAGGCAAAGAGATCGGGGTTATGGTCAGCAGGTAAAAAACGGTGGATAGAGACAAAGTGCTGAGCTGGATCTGACTTGCAAAGGGAAAGAGAAATAGGTAGAACTAATGGCATAACTCCTGGTTAGGGTTTGGGAAAAGCAAGACAGAGAAACATCCCATAATTTCCTCAGGATTAAACCTGCACTTACCAGGAGAAGTGGGTGACTTCAAATACTGCACAGAGATGAGTGAGTTCCAGCATCACTTCATTGGTGATGTCATCCCAAGTTTGGCCTTCCACATCCCCACAAAGAAGATGCAGCCTTGACCAATCCAAGTTTAACCCTAAAGACAACAATGATCAAGAGATGTTGCATACAGCAGAGTTCTTTAACACGAGGTGAATATATGTATATGTATATATGTATATGTATATGCCTTGCTACCTTTACTCAGAGCTTTTCAAATCCAACCACAGTTTTGGGTGATTTACTTTTTAAAAGTGTCCAGTTAAGCCTTAAACTAAAACTTAAACTAAAGAAGAGCAGAATAAAAGAAAAGGCAATCTGAGTTCTAGAATATTCTCCAGCAATATAGACTCACTAGACAATTCTCATCATCAATACTTAGGGCTATTAAGATTTTATCTCTTTCTAAGCTTGTGGACTGGAGGTTTTCCAATCCCGATGCACTTCTGACATACAAATACCAGGTGGTCTTACAACAAAGGCCAAGCGAACACCCAAAAATCTTTTACTTCCTCACGAGAAAGCCAAGACATGCCAGGGAAAACTGCAATTAGAAGATGCAGAGTATTCAGCACATCACCAGAGGAATCCCTGGTAAATCCACTGTTGATTTGAGCCTCTTCATAGTAGTACTCAGAGTGGCTCTACGTATAACTGTATAATAACTGAAAGATTGCAGTAGCTCAGAACCTGATCCATCAGCAGGAAGTTGAATAGAAAGTAGATCCCTGGAGGCAGCATCTTCATTATCAACTTCAAGCTATTCCCAGTCAGGAATCAAAGCCCTTTTACAATGCATTTCCCTGTTTTGTAGAAATGTCTCTCCAAACCATCATACCAAACCCAGCAGTCCGAACATACGTGTGACTCAGCAGGGAAATCTATTTGCCACAGCAGTTCTCCTAGCTTGCATTGCTGGTCCTGTGAAGCCCAGCGCTGGCCTGCTGGGCTTCAGCTGCCTTCAGCTCTCAGCACTGCACCAGCACCAAGCACACAAATGTACCTTGCTGCTTCTGCAGACAAAGCTAATTGGTTATTAACATTGAGTCAAACAAAATGCCCAGCTTGCCGCTTGCCGTTTTCCACACAGTGTTTCTGCTCTCCAATTTTGAGAATAAACTGACCTGTAACCCCAAGTGGGAGCGGGAGCTGAATTCTCACAGGTCTGAGGAAATCTACCAGGGAATCCTGGGAGAGGCAGAGCAGAGGACTGGCTTTGCATCCTGCATCAGCTGTGAGTTCCGCTATCTCTTCTGCAGAGACTGGCAGAACCTGTGCATAGAATGCAACACAGAGAGAGGAGCAATCAGACACCCAAATTCCCTCATTTCCCACACAATGCTCCCAAACACTCAGCAAGCAAATACAGCTCTTGGCTCAGGACACAGTGGGAAATGGAAGCATAGTGAACTTCATCTGAATTTCACTTTAACATTGGTGTCACCTGGGCAAGTTGGGACAGGGCAATGTATTACAACAGCATTTAGCAGCATCCACCAACTTTACAGAACAACCACCAATTTTAGTGGGTTTGCTCTAGAGTTAGATCTGCATAAATAATCTCTGCAAACCTCTCTTGCTGAGCTGTTCTGCAAGGCTCAGTGTATTTTGTAATGGAACAAGAAGCAAATGATACTTCTCTGCATGATATCTTCATGCTGATCTGCAGGGAGGAGCACCACAAGGAAACCCACTTTCCCACAGGGGGCAGCTTGAAGAACAGCCCATTTTGCAGGCAGGAAAACTAAGGCCGAAAGTGCTAGGAGATGGGTCAGCCCATGAGGCATCCATGTCAAGACACTACTTACTCTAGGACAGACATTTCACCTTGTGTTTTGCTGCTTGACATAGGTTAGCAGCTGCACCAAGGGCTGACCAGGGTTCCTTTTTTTAGGCATACATACCTGCAGTTTGACACTGCGAGTCTCTTCAGTGACTCCAGGAGGGAAGGTCACTTTGATGTTTGGATCCACACTGGAAAAGAGCAATGTCCCCTCTGTTGACACTTTGCATTCATTTTGCACAAGTCGAGACACAACAAGGAACCAGGAGAAGTGAAGAACACTACAACGAGCCACATCCTTCTGTAACAGAGGACAGGGAAGAAGAGAAAACATATGGGCATACCACACAACACTCTAATGGCAGGAAAAATAGAGGCAGTAACACCAAAACAGATAAGAGCATCAGGATGGAAAGAGCAGCAAGTCATCACCTCCAGCAGACACACCTCCACGAGAAAGGAATCCTACAGCTGAAATCCACTCCATTTCATAGCAGCCAGTCAAAACACAGCTCATGAAATATTTCAAGCAGACTCCCCCATGGCTGAGCAATAACAGAGTGACAGGAAAGATGTGTGTCACCAGTCATTCCAGCCTGCTTACCTTACTCTTCTCCACTCGTGTTCTCAGGTCACTCCAGCTCTGCCCACTAAAGGTCCGAACAACCACCTCACGCTCATGAAGAGTTTCTGGAGAGGCATATGGCATCCAGATCTCTACCTCCTGGCACAAAAGCAGTCCCGTAAGACACCAACATAAAGCCTCAAATCAAGCCTAGCTCTGCTCAGTGGCATCTTGGGCAAACAAAGGGAGGAAAAGCATGGCCCATAGGAAGGGAGTAGGGCAGGAGATGGGAATCTGCTCTGTCTTGCAGCCTCGGGAGAGATGACAGGACATCTGATGTGCTGTGCATTGTGACTGCAGGAAAAGCAGCCTGTGGGCAGAAATGGCAAAGTAACCTTTCCAGTGAGTTGTCACCCACAACAGAGATGGTGATGTGAGTATTCACCAGCAAGAATGAAAATGACACTATCAGACTTTTGGGGAACAACATGAACCATTTTCCTTGCAGATTAAGGGCAAATGCTAAAAATCATGGAGAAAGAGGGTTGTGAGCAAGGAAGGTTACAGCTCAGCTCAAGTAGAAGTACTTGGGAAGGAAAAGGAGCCAGAACAGCACAGTACCAAGGAAGTTGGTTGTGTTCTTTGAATCTTTGCAGTGCAGCTTCTTTGACAGCTACTTACAAATAGCAGTGAGGGGGATAGCTGGCTCTAAAGTCCCAAAAGACTCTCCCAAAAGACTCTGCTGAGCTACTGCATAGGCAGATTATTCAGCAGCAGCCTGTATCTGCCCTCACCTGCTGGAATTTGACCCCATGAGGCTGCAACTCCAGGACTTTGCTCAGCAGGACATCATGGTGTCTCAGCTTCACCCACTGAGGGTCTGGTGCCAAGGTTCGGAAGTAGATCCGCAGAGGGTCAGAGGCAGCCTCTGGCGGAAAGTAGAAACGGATGCCACAGGCCAGGAACACTTCGCAGCCTTCAGAGGTCACTGTGAAACTTCCAAAAGAAATACATGAATGTGTGACACTGCAATGACTCCAGCCCTTCAAAAAGTCAGCAGAGAAATCTCCCACCTTGTGCATGACTGGCCCAGTGAGGCAGTAAGCACATACAGAATGTCTGCCATGTATAATCTTGTCTGGGGCCTTGTTACACTACTGTAATATAAGTTCTTAGTAAAGAAGCATACCTATCCTCTTCCGATGCAAGGAACAGTCTTGGTAGCTCTGTGGCACTGGATTCATCTGCAGCAACCAGGTTTCAGTAAGAAGAGGAGGCAGAGGTTATTTAGATGAAGTTAGACAAGAAAGGTTGAATTTACCTTCCAGTTTTGACTTAATCCTAATCTGTCAGAAGTTGCTAAAGGAACCCTGCCCGCACACCAGTGGGCTTCAGATCAAGCAGAAGCAGCAGGAAGATACGAAGAAGTCAAGGGGTTCCAGGGCACACTGGAAATGCTGATTCTGTCCCCCAGTAAAACTTAGGAGTTAGAAAATCTACCAGACCCGCAGCTCTCAGGACCATGACTGATCACCTATGGCCATTTGTTGTGAATGTAAGCACTACTGTGAAACTCTGCTCAGATTTCTGCTCAGTCATCATTGTATGGGAACTGCTGAGTCACGGCCTGAACCTCTGATTGATCACCTGAGACTATCCATGAGTCAGCCAGAGGAGCACAGGTGAAGGCAATTCACTCTGTGCTGCTCCTAGACCTATTTAAGAGCTGGCTACCAGTGAGGAAGGACCTTGTCTGGAGACTGCCTCTGCTGGTGTTTTTTGTAGGTGAGCCTAGCATACAGGTAAGCCTTCCATTTATTCTCTCTTATTATCTTAGTCTACTTTGCCTAACTCTCTCTTGTTCTTTTTGTGATTATAGCATCTTAGTATCCATTGATTATACATTTCAATATCCATTGATTATACAATCATCTTTGTCTCAGAGAAAGGGCTGCAGCCCGGGAAGAAGGGCAAAGCAGGAGGTAACTGCACAGTTGAATCATCTCTGATGGTTCCTGTGCTTCTAGTGTGAGCCACCATGGCCTGAAGGTCATGCACCAAGTCCAAGAACCAGTATTCTCCCTTAATGTACCCTTCTGATCTGTTTCATATGAATCCAATTTTCACTTCCACTGAAAAATCTTTCCAAAGAGCAGGACTAGCAAGCCAGTTTCTGGGACATCTGAGACCTTCAGAACAGGCTCATAAAAACAAATTGCCTGAATCACTACAACCTAATAATAACGCCACACAAATAAACACTAATCTGATTGCCCCCTGCTTTTCTTCTTTAATTCAAACCCATTCATGCCATGCTGGGCTGAGCAAGAGAACAGCTGGGCAAAATCCACAGAAGCAGAAGCCTTGCAATTACCAGCCTGCAGGGACAGCTCAGCTTCTCCTAGGGGGTTGCCTCGGAGGTGCACAAATGGCGCAGCCTGTATCTCAGGGGGGACAGCACGGAGGAAGTTGTTCTGCAGATCAAGCCTGGACAAATTGGGCAGGCTGGCGAGCGATGCAGGGACTGTCACCAGAAGATTGCTGTGAAGATGCAGCCGCCGCAGAGACTTCAAATTGGCTGCAGGTTAGAACAGGCAATGACTCCCCATCCGTGCTGTTAATTGCATTGCACATCAGCTCTCTCCACACACTCACACACTCCTGCCTTTTGGCATTGGATATCCATTCCTCTCACACACATGCAATAAGGGAAAGGCACAATAGCTCTATGTTTCTTTAGTTCCCAAAACAAATGAGGCTGCTGAACTAGCAGAGAGGCAATGCAGCCACCTCTGTTCTGTGCTTTACAGCATCAGTGGCACCTCCTGAGCAAAAAGAGAGGAGTTGAGAGCCAGTAAAGCTAGAGAAAGCTGGGCACTGGAAATCAGAGCCTGGCTCAGTGGATTGCTCCATAACACAGAGCCTGATTTCAAGCTGTTTTGCTTCCTCTTAAGCCCCAGCTCTTCTGTTTCCAGTGCTGGATGCTCCCAAAAAAACAGTTAGGTAAGACTCAACTACTTTAGGTTGCATGAAAATCCTAGGAGCCTTTCTGATTCACAGCAACAGAAAGCATGGACCATAGACATCCTGTTAATGCCCACAGGGACTGACTTAACCAAGCATGTTTTTTCCAGATATCCCTCCCACTTTGTCCTAGCAATTCTGGGAACAGAGGCAAAGGGCTCAGGGATTCTAGCCTGTATCAAAAACTCAGCAGACTCTCTTTCTTATCACCTAAGAAAACAGGTACCTAAACAATCTGGGATGCTTGATAGCTGATTCCCAGAGAGATCCAGTTCTGTGCAGCTGTGCAGATTTCCAACCTCTTCAGGGAGATGTTCCAACACATTTTCTGAGAGATCCAGTTCCTCCAGTGCTGCCAGCTCCCCGATGCTCTGAGGTAAGCGCTTCAGCTGATTTTTCATAGCAGAGAAGAAAGTCAGCTTGCTCAGTGAGCCGAAGTTCTCAGGAAGAGCCACCAAGTTGTTGTGGCTCACCAAGAGCATGCGGAGGCTGGTGAGGTAAGGGATGCAGCTGGGCAAGGTGGAGAGACTATTGAAGCTGAGATCCAAGTGAGTGAGACATCTCAGGGTCCCAATACCTGGTGGCAAGCTTGTCAGGGAGCCGTGCTGACATGAACCAAATTCATCTCTGACATGGCCACCTAGGTGCAAAGGGAAGTGGGGGGAGAAGTCAATATAGTACAAGGGTACTTCATCACTTCACGTAACACTCCTTTCTGAAGCTATAACATGGAGACTCAGATAATGGTGGGTTTCTGATCACAATGTACAGCACTAATTACAAAGTTTTGTAGGTTTTCTGCACCTTGCCTCCATTTCCTGATCTGTGAAGATCTGCTGGGAAACCAACAGATGTTGCAGGGAACCCATAGAACCCTGCTTAACACATGTGGGGCAAAGTTCAGAAAGACCCAAGCCACTCCATCACTCTGTGTAGTGGCACATACTCTTGCAAGCCTCCTAAACGTTCTACTCCTGGTGCCAACACCAGTGAGCAACACAAACACTTTATGAACGAGACCTTCCTCACACACCTTCCAGACTCTGCCCACATTGCTGGGGAATGAACAGCCCCAAAGAACGAGACCTGCCCTTATAAGACAGATGAGAAAAGCAGTGAAAATGTAGCCAAAAAAAAAAAAAAAACAACCCACACAACAGCTCATTCAGTATTGTGTAGGCCAGATGAAAGCACAAAGAGAGAAGGGTACAGGTCCTGCCCCAGTTTGGACACTCAAGGCAGTTGCACCTTGGAAAAAGAAGTACACAGAAGCAAGCTTCCAGCTCTTCGCTATTTTCCTTCCACTGCTTTGCTTGTGATGGCATATAGAGGTGGGTAATTTTGTTATGCTACATAATGGCAAAGAATGTAAATAATCTAAGAGAAACATTGTATGTGGGACCTAACAAAACCCAGTCCAACTATTTTATTGCACTTCAGGATGTTTAGAGTATGTGTACAAAACAAGTATCATAAAAGGCATTTCCACTAACCTCACCTTACTGCAGGAGAAAAGACAGATGAAATGATCTGTATGAGATTTTATAAGCAATCTGTGGTAGGTGTAGAAATGAAGCTCAGTTGTGAGAGCTTTCAGATGGAACCCTGAATTCTTTTCTCTCTCGTGATTTTTAAAATTTCACCTCCCAAAGATCAAATGACTCAATCTAATACTAAAATTATATCGTTCGTATTGAGACCCTCCTACAATTAAGAGATAAGGAAATCAAGAAATGTTATAATTCAGATGTGTGTCATTACAGAATGTCAAACAACACACACTCTGAGACATACTTTTATAAAATACTGAACAGCCTGCTCTGGTGTGTGCTAAACCTATGCTCACTGACACAATGCAAGGATTATGTTAGGGCTGATTCAGAACAAACCCTAGCAAGGGCAGCTCATTATACTAACAAATATGAAAAAGGAGCTGAACAGTTAAAAGCATTTTTCAATTTCCCTCTTTTTACACAGCTGTGCAAAAATTGCTCTTCTTCTAGAGGATGGATAAAGAAAGTGTTGCAGCATCAACCTAACCAGGCTCCAAAAACCGGTCCCGACGCAGCTGTAGAGGCAAAGGAAGGATATAAATGTCTAGAAGCTGATTCTTGTTGAAATCTGCGTGCAGCTCTGAGCAAGACTAAGAGTCGATGCCCTGGCTTGGGGCACTGGAGCAAAAAAGCTCTAAGGCAGCTTGCTCTGCAGATGTGGAAAGATGGAAAAACACAAACATGAAGCTAGGCGATGGGTCCAGGAACTCACCTTTGAGCACCAGGGACTTCAGGCGCTTCAGATACGGAAGGATGATCAGCGCAGCATCAAGCAAGTGATCGTTACTGCTGAGCCGGAGGAGCTCCACCTGCACCACCTCTGCCAGTTGCCTCTCAAACAGCTGGAGCAGCCGACAGCAGCCATCCGGATAAACATCCAGAGTGAGCCTGTTGTCTGCCAAGCAGGAGTCAGTGAGCAAAGGAGCCCCCGGAGCCCCCTCCTCATGCTCTTCCACGAGCTTCAGCAGCTCTGCCATCTTCTGCATTTTGTCCAGGGGGGCCAGACATGCTCTGACTTGCCAGGTGGGCAGGCAATGGCAGGCTGCGGGGATGGGGAAGAGGAGAAAGGATGGCTCTGAAAGAGAACAGATATGCACGCTGAAGGCCTCCTGCCCCAGCCTGAGGTGGCTGGAAACTGTTAAGAGCCACAACAAGAAGGCAGGAGGTGTACTGACAAAAAGCTTTGTGGGCAGAAGGGACAGAAATGCAGAGCTCTGTAGAATCACAGAATGGCCAGGATTGGAAGAGATTTCAAGGATCATGAATCTCCAACCCTCCTGCCATAGGCAGGGGCACCAACCTCCCCATTTAATACTAGACCAGGCTGCCCAGGGCCCCATCCAATCTGGCCTTAAACACCTCCAGGGATGGGGCATCCACAGCCTCTCTGAGCAGCCTGTTCCAGCACCTCACCACTCATAGTAAAGAAGCTTCTCGTTCCTACAGATCTAAGTTCTCCCAGCTGATATCAGGCAATCAGGCAAAATGAATGCAAATTCAGGGAACAGAGTAAATATCTGTTATTCCAATTATCCATCATAATAAATATTGATAGGAACTTTAAAAGGTATAAATGTAAGTGCCTGTGCTTTGTGTAGAACACAAAGTGCCTCAGTGAGAAGGTTTATGCAAGCAGAGAAAGCGAGGCAGGGAATGCAGACACAGGAGCAGCAGCACTCCCAGGCCAGCACGCTGCCACCAACCCTCATCCAACCCAGTTGTGAAATCGGGTAACAGTGGCAGGAACACGGAGATGGAAACAGGCAAAGGGCAGTGGAGAAAATGTAGCGTGGCTGGGGAGAGGATATATAAGACAAGGCTACTGCATAGGGCTGCCACTCTCACCAGCAAACAGGGCAATGAGCCACGGCAAGTAGCATCCCCAAAAAGAGCCATCGCACGCAGCTCCCGGAAGTTGCAGAACCTCTCCGAGAGACACACGTGGCAGACACTTTGTGAAGCTGCGGAAAGCTCCGAGCAGCCCCCGAGCCCCCGCTCCCGGCCACACCGCCCCGCGCCCCGCAGAGCGCGCCCGCCTGGCCCCGCACACACACACACCCTGCGTCCCCGCGCCCGGCCGCTGCGGCTCGGCCCCACCGCTTCCTGTCAAGTCGGTCCCGGGGCGGGCCGAGGAGGGGGAGGTGCCGCGGCGGCGGGTGCGGGAAAGCGAGGCGTGCTTCCCTGCGCAGCGGACCGGGATCGCGGGGACCGGGACAGCGGACCCTGCGGTGTTTGTTGCGCTCCCCGTGTTGCTGGCGGAGCGGTGCTCCGAGGCGCTTCCCCAGGTGCAAAGCCTGGCGGTGCTCTACCAGCCGTGCCCTTGAGGAGAGGCTGTTTCCTCAGAGCAAGTCTCGCTCGGGGGTCAATCAGCGCGTTCTGGGATACAACCCTTAGGGAGCAGCTTTTCAAATACACAAAGGGGAAACAACCACTGCCATCTCCGCACCCCGACCGCGCATGCGCGGCCCTTTGCTGTCGCGAGCATCCCGAAGCTTCCCATTGGTTGGCCCTCTCGCCTGGCCCGGTGCAATGGCAGCGCGCGTTGTTAAGAGGTGACAGGAAGAAGGCGTTGCCGAAGCCCCGCCCTTTCCTTTTCGCCGCCGGGCTGCCGCAGCGACCGCACGTTCCGGGCCTGTCTCACGCCGCCGCCGCCTCGCCAAGTGAGCGCGGGGCGGCTCCGTGCCCCGTACCGTCGCCCCTTCTGCGGGAATGGGCGCTCCCCCCCCGCGGCCCACAGCGGGGCTTGGGTGGGACCGCTCGGGACAGGGAGGGGGGGTAATGGCGGCCATGTGCTCCGCCGGCCTGGGCCTCTGAGGAGGGGGACGGGACGGGACGGCAGCGCCGAGGCGGAGCGATTTCCCCATCAGGAGACGTCGGGCCGCGCCGACTGCGGGCTTTCGGGATAGCGAGCCCTGCTGGGCACGGCGGGGTTCGCGGCCTCCGTGCTGGGCCTGCAATGGCGGGAGGCGGGAATGCGGCCTCTCCCACCGCAGGTTTTATTTAATGAGTAGAGCAAAGGGAAAAGAAGATACAGGTTATCAAGCTAGATCTGTGGCGTTAAAGATTTCGGTTTTGTTTTCCAGGATGCGTTACGTTGCAGCATACCTTCTCGCAGTCCTTGGTGGCAATGAATCCCCCACGTCCAAGGACTTGAAAAAGATCCTCGACAGCGTTGGCATTGAGACGGACGATGAACGCCTCAACAAGGTGGTGCTGCACTCTGCTTCCAGGGCTTACATCCCTGTTGGTGTTGAACGTTGGAGCTGTTCTCTTGTCTTCGGTGTTTTTTTATTTCCCTTTCTGTTGGTGTGGTATTACTTCTCACTGATAACATGATTTCATTACATCACATGATTTGCATATGTGTTATACATGATTGCATACATATATGTAATCATGACCACGTAATTCCATACACGATTTCCAAAATGCTGCTGAGCCCATCAGAACTATTTTGTACAGGCATCTTTGTAGAAGTCTGGCTTTACCAGTTGCTGCCTTCTGACTTAAATCCAAAGAATTCGAAATAAAATGGGATGATAGCTACAGATAATATTTACAGAAAGTGAATTCTGTTCAGATGTAATGTGTGGTTTGCACTTGAATGCTTAACTTTGGCTTTTGGTCAGTTTTAGTTAACAACAAACATTTCTGAAGATCTGATATTCAGCATTGTGTTATCTTAGTGTACTGTAAAGAAGTTTTTGTACCATCTGTGATTCAGGAAGAAACACAGGTAAATTATAGTGTGGACAGTTAAGGTATTCAGTAATAGGATGTAGGACAATTTTAGAAATAATTGCTGAAATGGTTGTATTGAGAAACAGGCTTTTAAAGAGAGAGTATCCTAATTGAATGTTTCTTGTGAGGCAGCAGTCCTTTCTTTTGGGCTGGAGGATAAATGGCCATGGGATGAGAGGGGAAATCTTGTCATCTGCCCCATACATGTATGCAGAGTGCTTCTGGAGAGGAGAAAGCTGTAGAGTGTTTTGCCATCAGCCCAATCCAATAACGTATGGACCTAGCTGAGAGCATCCTTATATGGTTTGGGATCTTGACTTGAACTTATGGTGCTCTTGTTTAAACACAAGATCCTTCTGCCTTGGCTCGTTTACATTTCTTTAATACCTTCATACTTGTTTTCTGTGATCCTCCAATATCACCATTATCAGAGAAGGCATCTCTGGAATTGGTGCTACTCAAGATAATTTCATTCATTTCTATTTGCACTGGCTGCATCTTTTGCCAGTATAAATGTAGTGGGCTCCCAAAAGCATCTTCTAGTTCTAGCAGGCACACAAGAATGTAATTTCACAGCACACAGCAGGAGGTGCCTGCTGGAAATATACCAAAAGTTCTTTGGTGACTGCAGTGTTCACCCTCTTAGCAGGAGTTCAACAGTAAGATCTGTGAGGTACTTTATTGTTTTTATAAAATATTAGATCATTTTTTGTTTCTGTGTGTTGCTTTCCTCACCCCTGATATAACAATGGTAGTAAACCTGAAGTTAGGACTATCTGTGCCAGTGCAGGGGTGTAACCAGCTTGGCTGTAACATTTGGTAATGTTAGGAACAGGGCCCTGGTTGGTTGTTGGTCTGATGCCCAGCACTTCAGAGCCTCCCAGTGGATGTTGAGCAACACATGCAAACAGTCCCACAGCAACTAACAGACCATTAATGGGGTTTCACAGTTGGCTTAGGGACATCTGTGTATCTTGCCTTCTGTAAAGTTCATGGATTCATTATGAATTTATTGTAATAGATTTCACAAAGAAGTTTTTGCAGAGAGGAAAAAAAATGTAGATGCAGTTCTTACTGCAATGTCTTGTTCCTTCCACTGAGAAATAAGGAATGCTGGGGCTGTGCAAGCAGCAGGATGGAGCCATTGCACATAGTAATCAGTACTTGTTTAAATGTAGCTTATGTTGTTTTGAAGCTATTAACGTTGTAAATGTCATTTACACAGGTTATTAGTGAGCTGAATGGAAAAAACATTGAGGACGTCATTGCTCAGGGTAAGTACAGTCTTGAGTGTCACAGATAATTGCCTCTGCTATTTGGGTAGCTTAGACTTGAGAGTGCAGAATTGCTGCCAACTTCCTGATTATTCACCATTTTCCTCTTGCAGTGGAGAACTTTCATGCTATGTTTCTGCTGAAATGCTTGAAATTCAGCAGGTCCATTCTAATTCCTAGCAGGTTGGTGCCAGTACCTGTGGGGTTTCGCTTGTGGACCACATTATACTGGAAGACTTAAATGTGTATGAGCTTACTGGTAGTTTGCTCATGACATAGTTTTCTGGACATACTGAATGAAAAAAGAATTAACTGTTCTTTATTTTCTTTTTCTTTTTTTTTTTTTTGTTTACTCATTTGTACACACCTCTTATTTAAGATATTTACTTATTTACTGATAAGTGTAATTAAGTGTCAATCCACTTAAAGGCACAGTTACACCCCCAGTGGTAAATACAAGCCTCTAGAGCACACATCTCTTCTGGGGCTTCCCACATCTGGTAACTCTGTGAAGGACAGAATTCTTAAGTGCTGAAGGGTGTTTGAAAGCTTGTGCTCTTACCTGCTGGCTCCTATTGAATCTGGGACTTATGACATTACTTGACTGGGTCATAGGGCTGAAACAGTGCAGAGTTGAGGTAGTGCAAAGATCTAGACATAATTATTTTCTATTTTTGAAAATACGAAGGCAAAAGGGAACTTTTAAGAATATGTTTACTTAAATAGTGCCAGGACTCTGCCTGGTATTGCTGTTCTGAGTGGTAACTGTGTGTCCTCTTGGTGTGGTCTGAAGGCCTAAGAGAGCCATTATGTGTGTGCTTACAACACATTGTTTCTTTATGTAATACTTTTTCTTAAAACAAATTGTTTCTTAGAACATACTGACATGCATATGGAACATGTTTGTTTACTTGGCTGGTTCATTAGAGCTTGAAGTAACAAGGAATTATTTGGGAACAGATTCCCAGAAACTGGAATATAAGCAAGCATACACTGTACATGACCTCTGGATGCCAAGGGAGCCTTGGTATGTGAAAGGTAGCTGCCAAAGAGCTAACTTTTCCAAAGACAAGCATAAATCAGGAATGAGTTTGCTAATCTCCAAGGAGATGCAATAGGTTTCATAGGGTGTTGGAAAATTTGGTTAAGATACTGTACTCTTTGCCATAAATATCTTTTTTCTTTTCCTCCCCCACAACCCCAGTCATCATCCACTCACAGTTTTCTGTACCCTTTAAAAAAAAAAAAAAAAAGCCAAAGCAACCCATATTTTTTGGAGGTATCTTGAGATTATCTATTTCTGGGCTATTCTGCTTTGTTCAGAAAACATATAATGTCTGTACATGTCAAATTAGATGTGTTTGCCACTGTTCTTATGATAGTTTTTGAAAAAAAAAAAAAAAAAGGAAGTTTTGTATGCAGAAGAAGGTGTATTAGTATGCATCAGTGTTCTCAGGATAAGTTTTCAACGTGAGGCTTAAGGTTCTTTTTGTTGGGTGGGTTTTTCTGGAGGTTTCATACTTTCAGGTGCAGTTTTTTGTTCCTTGCAGTGATAGTGACGGAGTGACAGTTCAGTTCATGTGACACGGAGTCTGGTTTTTCTTGATCTCTGTTCTTGCTTGACTGTGCTCACCACAAGCAGTTCAATAGTTTTTTTTCTCTCCCGTTCAGGTAACGGAAAGCTTGCCAGCATGCCAGCTGGGGGAGCTGTGGCAGTCTCTGCTGGAGGGGTGTCTGCTGCTCCTGCTGCAGGTGCTGCCCCTGCTGCTGGTGAGTATGACTGGAGAGGCGTTGTTACAGGGCAGTTCCATGTTCTCTGTTCAAATCTTAATGCTCATGTCCCAGTTTCAACGTCTTCCCGCTTTCACAGATCACTACATGGTTGGAAAATGAACTGTTACTTTCGCTATGGGTAATGAGAAACGTTTGCTCTTTTTTGTCCACTTTGAAGTTTGTTTTGGCTAATAACTGAAAATCAGGTTTCACTGCTTAAAGGACATCCCTTCTGTAGTAGTGTCCGTGTCCCATCAGTGTTTATATTTGACTACTGAAAGGGAACAAAAGGTCCTATTGAAGATCAACCATGGAGGTCAAAATGCTATTAATGTGGAAGCTGAGAACACTAAAACATGTTTCTTGAAAGCCTGTATACAAAAAGATAAATACTAACCATTGGCTTGCCTGTTTTCTTTAGCTGAGGAGAAGAAAGAAGAGAAGAAGGAAGAATCTGAAGAATCTGATGATGACATGGGATTTGGCCTATTCGATTAATTATTTGTTATACAGAAATTATTAAAATTGTTTGTTTAAAATTTTTTTTGAGTTTGTTATTGTAACGACAATGCTGTTGAAAAATGCTGAGCTCTTTAGATGGCTCTGACGAAGCTTTAATTCAATGCTGTGTGAAATAGAGAGGTGCCAATAGAGAGGAGCCATGGGACTTCACTTTTGAACGTGTCAGGAAATGGCTAAGCGTTTATAAAGCTGGATGCTTATTTTTGAGACTCCTATTTATTAAATACTGTGTGTAAATATCTTACTTGATATTAACTTATTATTTTCCTATCTCAATTACTCTGGAAGGAGTCCAGTTCAGTAATAAAGAAGCTTATTTGAGGCATCTGTTTGTTATATAACATAGAAAATCATTTGAATTGAGAAGAGTCTGAATTAGTCTAGAAGCTTTACCAATTTAGAGCTAGTTATAATAATTAGTTTTCTGTAAACATCTACAATCAGTGGTTTCATGACTGCTTCACACTTCTAGGATCTAGGGGACAGCACCAATTAAGCTTGACTAAACTTGGATTTCATGTAGCATCCATAGGATTAACAGAACCTTTAACAGCAACAAAAAAGCATTTTTCCTGTTCTTAGTGGAACCCTGAGATCAATGTGAAGATGTTCTTTTTGTGCTCTTAATCTGCCCTAGCAGTAGCCAAAATGCTAGGATTTTAGTCTCCTTGATTAGAGCAACAACAAAAATACTTTTGGAAAACTGAATGTAATCTCTAGTGTGCCTGAAGAATGCATCAACTTGGAAGGAAAGCAAGTGTTGCTTTTATAAAGTTGCTCTTAGGAACTATCGTATGTTAGGAAGCAGTTCCAGCAGATGATTTCAGGTGACTTTACAGAGGTCTTTGGCTGTCACAAGTAGTGTGCAGGCAGCACATGTGATGTGCCAAGTCTCCACAGGTAGTTAGTTTCAAGAGAGAGGGGTCATGGAGCACTCTGCACTGTAATTCTTTGGCAATGTAAGTTGTAGGGGAAAAAAAAAAAGGCACAAGCTGATAATGTTGGCCATGAGTCACTGGATAAAGCGTGGCAAGTACTTCTGAGAGGACTTCTGAGATGGGTGAAATCCAAGTAGGAAAAACGATTTTATCTTGTACTGAGAGGAAAAACGCCCTTCCCAGAAGCCAGGGCAGAGGGCAGCTGGAACTTTGATCCTCCGATCACAGGTTGGCTGTTATTTTAGCAGTTAACCCTTGGTGCCCTCCTGTGAAATCAAAGGAGGCAGTGCCAATACCTTGCAACTCCTTAATCTCAAATCGTGGCACAGCAGTAGTAGTGAAAGTTGCTGGTGTTCTTGTTCTCTGTCAGAATTGTAATGGCTGTGGCTGGATACTGAAAAGAGTGCAGACATAACTGTTTCTTTCCTCCCTGATTTCTCCACTTCAGATCACTCCAGAAAATAGTGGTTCTTGGATGTGGTTTTGCTTTTCGCCTTTGCAAAGGTACTGAGGGGAAAGGACATGATTGTGATTACACTGCTGACTGATGATTACTAGATTGATAGGAGAGAGTGATTTAGTCACAGGCTTGACATTGGTACACGCGAGCTTTGTCACTGATAGATAAAAGCTCCATCTCTAATCAGCTCTGGCTGAAAACTATTCCTTATGAACACCACCGATGTGGCATTTTCACTACCTTGGGATCTAGCTTCTCCGGAGGGAGGCCTGCGCCTACGAAGTAGAGCTGAGGGGCGGCGATATCACCGCCCCTCAGCTCTGCCCCTCCACAGTCTGGAGGCGGGGCGCCGTACCGGACCGCCCCATATAAGCGCGGCAGCGGAGTGGCCGCCGGCAGCTCCGTCCGTTTAGTTGCTCGCGGTTCCTGTCGACCTCTGGCCCGCCCGCTGACGGGCGGTGGGATGTGAGCGGTGCCCTTCGGCGTCCCCCGCCTTTGCGTAGGCCATGTTCCCTTTGGACTCGGCTTGGAACATCTCTTTCGCCGGCTGCGGCTTTCTGGGGGTCTACCACATCGGCGTGGCCAGCTGCCTCCAGGAGCATGCCCCTTTCCTCGTCGCCAACGCCCGGAAGGTGTACGGGGCTTCGGCCGGCGCGCTCACCGCCACCGCCCTCGTCAGCGGCGCCTGCCTCGGTAAGCGCCCGTTGAACCGGGGGGAGGGGGGCGGGTGGTGTCAAGACGCAATAGGGTTTGCTGCGCTTGGAGCTTTTCCTGTTTATTGTGAGAACAGGAATTGCAGAAAAGCGTCTTGAATCTGTTTACTCTTGCGCTTAGTAGAGAAACAACTGAAACAAGCGTGAGCTGAGTGAAACCAGAGCTGTTGGTTGCTTGAACTCATCTGGGATCTCTCCAGGGCACTCCTTGTTCCTCGGGGACAGGTTCTAAAACGTCACCTTCGTGCAGCTCAAAGTTACCTGCTTCTGTGCGGTGAGGCTTGAACTTTTTCCCCCTTAACGTTATGTTTACAGCAGCGACCAATGGAGTGTGGCTGTTGCTCCTGGAGCATACTGGGAGGAAGCTCTCAGCTCAGAGTTCAGCCTGGCGTTTGTAAGGCTGTTGCGCTGCGATGTCAGGCTTTCCCAGGGGTGAGGAGATGGGCATCCTCTAACCCCTTCTGTTGGGGTCCCTTTGCTGGTAGCTGCTGGCATTTGGTTACTCTGGTAGCTGCTGCTTGTAGCGGTGAGCTGACTGCACAGCCTGCTCCTGAGCTGGGAGGGCCTGGTGTTATACTGGCAGAGGTGTGGCACCGACATGAGACAGGCTGAAGGCATTGCCCGAACCCTTTGGCTCAGACACCATTACAGGGCTGAGCAAGTCTCTTATCTTGTCTACCTTGTTTTTGCTATTTATATATCTAGAGCATCCACAACCTCACAGAGGGCAACACCCAGTTACCTGTCTCGTTCCCTTTGAGGTGTAAGGAGAGGCACGAAAAAGGGGATTGAATAAGGGGCCATTTTTAGGTAACATTTACTGCTCCCCTCGCTGCAAAAATGTTTAAAGCCAGCGAAGGCATGGATTTTGGCTACTCAAATTATGTCTCAAGTTTGAATGCTCTTGGGCATTTTATTTCTTTTTTTTTTTTTAGCTCGGCCTGTGGCTGGCATGTGTCTTACATAAAGAACAGGTGACTTCTGAAAGTAAAAGCAGATGATGGGTGCCCAATTGGGGTCTGGTGTTGCTGCACTTTGTTCCTTTTATAAGCCATTCTGACAGTACAGATTACAGGCTGAGGTCCAGAGGTTGGGGTGAGCTCATAGGGAAGAAGAGGTCAGAGGGAGAAAAGGAGGTACAGCTGCAAACCATTCTAGGAGAGCAGTTCTTCCTCTGTTGGAGGGTCCTGAGTGGACCTGTGGGCTTTTTAAAAAGCCTGTGGGCTTTTTAAAGCTCATGGCAAATCCTGCTTTTCTCTGCCTAATGTGCAGTCTACTGAAGTGGAGCACTAAATATTATCTCTGAATGGATGGCAAGCAGCAGTCTTGCTTATTTGGCTGTGTGTAACATAAAGGTTGGTGCTTTTCTCTATCTGTACTTAGTTGTGATCTTAATGCAAAGAAATACTTTCAGAGGAGGAGTGGAAAAAGTTTTTCCTTTAGTGTTTTTTCTAGTTTCCATCATTTGAGACCCTAACCAGAGAAAACAGAAACTGCCCTGGACTTCAGGGTCTATTCATAGACTATGATCCCATTTTGTTTCTTATCCAGTCTTTCTTTTCTGGTCTCTGTGCCAGTCCAGCTTGCCTCTGAGCTGATTCTGATTTCACCCTGAACTGGGAGCACTCTGCTGTTGTTTGCATGTGGCAGTAAGGCTCTGTTGTGGGCAAACACTGAAGTGAATGCCCTTGCCAAATATTCTGCAGCCTTGATTGCTCAGCGTAGACTTTGAAGGCACATTTGAGTACAGCAAGTCAGGAAATATTGGACATGGGTATTAGCTAGGCAGAGGACCTTATTTTGAAATAAGAGACTAGGAGATACTAATAGTCTGTTATGACTTCACCTTGCTCATGTTGAGTACTTTACTACTAATTGTGGGGGACTTGTATTAATTCTTCAGGGCTATGCCAATGGTGTTGACCTGTGTTTGAACTGTTCTCTTCACCTTTGATATTATTGTTTTCAGTGGCAGGAAAATGCATTGTTTTCTCCACTAGAATAATCTGTGTGGATGCTGGAGTTCATTCGGCAGTCTCCCATGTATAAACATGTTGGTTTTTTAGCCCAGAGGCTTGTCTGGGAAATGGGCTTCTGTCAAGCCTGCTTCCTCTGGGCTTGTTGGAACCCAGCACACTAAGAAGTGAGCCTCTGTGTGCCAAGCAAGTGAGAATTCCTTTCCTGTTGGCTTTATGGTCTCCTCCTTATGCCTACCTCATATCCTGTAGCTTTTCACAAACTTTTTGCCTGGGGCTTACCCTCAAGACTAAATTCTGAAGTTGGGGGAGGCCTAGGTGAGTAGAACTGTCTCATGTGATGCGACAAGACTGTCCTTTTCCAGTCACTAGTAATGCTAAAATACACTTAATGTTGGGTTCCAAAATCTTTCATATGAGAGTAGGGAGGTATATTTTTGTTAAGGGCCTGGAATGATCTCACTTCATTGAGCTGCATGGGATTTGGTGTGCTTGCTTTGGAGGCATAATGCCTGGTATGAATTATGGGATGCAAACCTGTAATCACTGAAAAGCTGTTTTTGAGCTGATGCTTGGGCCCTGGACTGTGCTTGTGATGCTTGTGACTCATAGTTAACCAACAGCATCTCTGCTGTCTGTGCAGCACGTGAGTATTGTCCTGTACTGCTCTCTTCTGAGAGTGGGGGGGACTGCTGAATTATGCCTCTACTGTGGGAGGAGAGGTGGATTCTGCTGTCAGAAGCAAAGCTGCCTGTCAAGCCCCCATCTGTGGGAGTTAGTCCTGAAGTGTGAATCAGCCATCAGTGCCAGCAAAAATAGTAAAGCAAGCTGAGGAGATGCTTCTGGTACAGAAAGGAGCATACATCTGCTAGGTAGAGCAGCATTGTTTGAAATACTCTTGAAAAGCTTTCCATAAGTTGTTTACAAACTCCTGTTTGTTTGGTTGTTTGTTTTTTTTTCTTTTCCTTTAGTATCTCAGTCAGGACCAACCTTGTCCCCTGGTAAAGTAACAGTTATTTGATAGTCAGGCTTGCTTGTCACCTGTCATCATATGACCACCAGGAAACTATACTGCTGAACTGTAGGAACTCTTTCTATTGAGCAATGGAGGAAGGATGAGGAGGGTAACCCTTTCAGTTACCTTTCAAAATTGAATTGTACTGCTATCAATGAACAGTAACAACATCTTTCATTCTGAAATTATTTCTTGTGCATGCAAAGCCTTAAAAGCTGATCACAGAGGTTATTTTCTGTGTGTGGAGTCTAACATCAAATCCCAGATTGAAGGGAATAAATCAGCTTAGTTTCTAATGAGTCCTCAGAGTAATGCCAGTGTATGCTGGCTAGAGCATGAATTGTGAAGTCTATTTTGGGGGAAGCATGTTTGATGCTGCTTAGTGTGTCTGTGGGGAGGGATCTGTAGATCTTCCTAGGTGTGTGAGGGAGACCTCCATAGTGTGTGGGAGTCAAAACATGAGTCCCTTCCTGTATCTCCTGCAACGGCCTTAGCTGGGAAGAAAGTTCTACTGAGCTCAGCAGCCCCAGTGCAGTCAGTTGAAGAAGAGATGCGTGCACGGAGATACAGAGCTAATTCTCCACAGCTGGACCCTCCATGAAGTGGGGGTGAAGTATTCACCAGCATGGCTGGGGATAATTTTTTTTTTCTTAACTTGGCTGCACTTGCTTTGTTCTATACTTGAGAATGACAACGCAAGGGCTGGGGAAATGGTAATTTCATTCAGCCAAGCTCTGCTGGCTGGGTTGTTAACTGGCCAGTACTTTCCAAGTGAATCCTCTATGCTTCTGCACATGCTTCCGTTGCCCAATTCTAATGATCTGTCTCTTTCTTTCTGCTGTGTGTTCCTGTAATAATCCTCTTCCTCTTGATACACTGCAGGTTCTTTGAGTGGACCGATAGGTTTTGGAAGCCTTAGCATTTAAAGGATTTAGTACCACTTTCACACTGGAGGCTCTGGCAGTGTCTGTGTACTTATACTCCTGGGGATTATCTAGTTTACAATCCTGAGACAGAGGTGGCAGCTGGTGATCAAGGATCCCATAGCATATGTTAATTATAAGACTTGCTCTTGATGGCTTATTTGAATGCTGCTGATTCAGGGCTGGGCCCGGTGAGAAAGTTATTTTGGTGTATAATTCAGCAGGGTGTGTGTGGATTCGTCCTGTCCAAGTTATGTCATGCATGGAGAAAGTTAGAGCCCTGTTGCAGAGCATGGGGGAGCTGTATCTTAACTAGCCTAGTGGTGTTATATAGTGGGATGGGTTAAAAACTTATCATTGGAAGCAAACTGGCTTCTGCACATAGAGATGTTTGGTGTATGTGAGCTTCCGGTGGATGTTGCTACATCTGTCTTGCTGCCTTCCTTGCTTCCTTACTCAGCCTTGCAGGAAGATTTGTGCAGGGTCCCATCTCTTAGAAGGGTCTGTGCAACCTTCTGTAGTTGATTCCTGTCCTGCTTACAGCCTGAGTCATCTTCATGTTGCTGGGGGGACTGCTGCTGACATCTGTGGATGAAAGGTATGTAAATCCCCATTCTTGTCATGGAATGCAGCCTGCCTTGTGGTCTGCCTGACATTGCTTCCTCAGTAACCTTCATAAGAATGAGATCCCTTCTTGAAGACTGGTTTGGAGCAAGGTTTCTTGTTCTCTTGCTTGTAACCTGCTCCACTCATTGTTACTATGTGGAAAAATTCAGGGCTGTAAAGTGACACCAAACAGGTCTGTGTGAGATGGCAGGGCAAAGCCGGCACAGTGAGCAGCCTGCATGGAGCTGCGTGGGGAGGTACTTGGCGTGAGGTGGAGCAGCAGGCTCAGAGCCAGGAGTGGACTTCAGAGCCATTTCTCATCTTCTGCCAGGGCTTGACAGTGCTTTAGCAGCCACACAAGCACACAGTGAGAAAAGATAGGGAGAAGGGAGTAAGGCTGCCCTTTGATGGCAGAGTCTGAATGCAGGAGTGCATTCAGTTGGGGTTAGACTGAAAACCT